ATCTTCCATGGAAGGCAGATAATCGAACATGCTTAAGCAAGATGATGTTTCATGATCATCTTAATTCTGATTTTCAGGCATTAACGTAAAGATCAGATATGGTCGACTGTCGCCAGCGCGAATGCAGAAGGACTTAGTCTAAACAAGATATGTTAAGTACAATTCTTAACATGTGTAGAGTTGAACATGTAAATTCTTTAAACATTTGACATAAAGGTTTATGCTAGGAAACGAGCGTGACTGATGTGTCACTCAGCAAACGCCTGAGTTACGAAACCTGTTCATAGTTGCGCTCATGTTTAATCAGGCGCAGATTTAGGGGCCAACTAAGAACATCTGGCTGCTTTATTAATAGATTAACTTCGAGATGCATAATAGCAAGCATCAGATGCGTAGTCTTATCATATGACTTGTTATTCGTGTTCCTCGACAGCACCCTCAATCAAAACTTTAGATACATTTATCAGGTCATTGTTTACAACTCGATGACGGGCGAGTGCAAAATCTCATTGCACACGTTTATGGTGGCGCCACCTCAAAGTTCTTCAAACGCCATGTTAGGTAATAGCGATGGTTGTCCTACTCCTGCGACAGGCCAGCATTTCTTTTATTTTTGGCAACATTGTTGGACTTATAATTAATTAGAATAACAACTAGCGGATAACTCTAAATGGTACTGATTTCAAAGGTAAAATATTAAATCAACTAAAGGTTGTCAGAACTGTAAGGTTGTGAAGCATCATTAATTTGCATACCATGCTAAATGCTCATTGCTCTATCAGAAGCAACTGCCCTACCACTTAGATAGTCTTGATATTTCCATACGTTCCTGCTGACTATGGTATTAGAGGGGTCATGCGTTGCTCAATAAATTCCGGCGTAGGAACAACTTATAACTCATGATGTTTATGCGGCAGCATATGACTAGTACCAGCTGCTGAAACGTCGTTTGTGACGAGCGTTAAGTAGCTCTAGTGGACAAAATGACAGGAGATATGTCTCTTACGCCAGAGGAAAATAATCATGGAGCCGCGGCCTGATTAAATGCCCCCATTAAAGCACTGGAAGCAAGACAGATATGTAACTGTGAAATCTGGTTTTATAGGGGTCATGGGTTACCTTCCGAATAAGGACGTTCATGGTTGCTACGCTTTGCGTCCAGATCAACTTCGACACCCCTGTCGGAAAGCTCAACCGTAGAAACTGGGCTCTCGCTTCAACTCAATCAGTCGAATTTTCTCTGACTTATTGAGGATGACAGTGACACATTCAGACAGATTCAGACACACCGGAATAAAGGGATATTTGTTGAATTTTACATCAAATCAGCCAGTGACATTGATTACGGGAATATCGGGGACCAGATTTTTGTGTACGATATTTCGAATAGATGATAGAGGCTGCAAAGACTATGTGCACCAATGATTCAATAGCGGTATTTATGAAAGTGCCTGCAATTTTTATTTTGAGGTCGGAACTACTTTAAAATAAAACAGCCAGTGACTTTCCCTCATACGAAACACCCTGCAAGGGTTTCACGATTTAAAATCACCAAGTATGCGTTATATGACGAGCATCAAAAGTATGCATTCGTATGCTAGAGTATGATAATTGGTATATGACTTTTGCAAAACCAGATTCTGCGGCTTATTGCATCATTCCTTGCTGCTAGTTGCCTAGCGAGCCAGTTGAATAGGTTACGGCCTAATACAACTTGGCTATTTTCCACCAGTTTATTTGCTAGAGCATTCTTTTCCTTATTACCAACG